ATAAAACGAATTTTGAAGGAAACTCGACCTCGAAAATTTGAGAGCTACAACGGCTCTCTTCGCTATTACGGCAGTTCAGGTGCTCCGCCCGGAACCCAACCGAAATTTCCGACAATCCCGAGGGGGCTTCCGGGCGGAAAGGCGCCTCGCGCTCCCGCGCCGGGAACCGCGAAAATCGGGGTCAGCAGGAGCCGGCGGGGATCTCACGGCGGCGATCCAACGATTACGCGGCGGACAGGTAACTCGGGTCGGCTCCGTAACACCGCCATCCAGCGTCCAACACCGGTTGCCGGGCCGCCTCCTCCACCGTGCGGGGCCCGCGTCACCCGGCGCCCGACTTGGCAGCCGGCCGCGGCAGGTTCGTTGCCTCGGTAGGCTGACTTACTAACCCATCCACCTCGAATCGGGCTGTCGGAGCGGGGCCTCTCCGCCCCCGGTGGGACGGTTTCCCGGCTGCGGAGCCGCGGCCCGGGTTCAACGGCCCCGTCTTCGGGCTCTTCTCCGGAGCGCTCTCCTCCGCTCCGCCGCACGCTCCTCCGGCGCACCGTTAGTTGACCACGCCGCCGAGGAGGCCCGTTACTCCGTTAGCTTTGGTCCCCGCTCAACTCGGCGAGGCCGGCGTCTCAGCTGGTCCGCCGAGGACCCGGACCCCGGTGTGCACGGTGGCGCGCCCGCTTTTGGCGGCAACCGCCGGAAGCTCCCGAGGACCGTCCGAGAGCTCCAATATTTCGGGGACCCTAGAGTACCTATATTGAGACAGTATGGTCACTGGGGTTACCACCTCTGATTGGCTCAGCCATCTCAGGCTGAATGGAGCCCTTAGGACCCAAAAATGGCGGATGCCGTAAGTTAATGTGATGCAAAATGACTCAAAATGTAGTTTTCTTCGCTTATCGTAACGAGAAATTGACCCAAGTGCACTACTGCAACTTCTATACATATTTTTATGGCTAATCATGTACAATTTTCGAGAAAAATTATCTTTGGTGTAGTAAGGTTGGCAGCAAGTGCGGTTGGTGATAACCGTCAAAAGTTGGCAATGACCCCTCTCCCATCCTCAAAAATCAAAACAAAGCACCGCCATTTTTGGGTCCTAAGCCTCTCCATGGGGCCCAGTAGCCAAACTCTCTTAATATAGGTACTCCAGGGGACCCCATCGTTCAAGGTACTGTGGATAGGGGGATCCTATCAACGATATAGAAACTGTAGATTGGCGGTGGCCTACGAAAAAACGTAACGCACATGGAGCGGTCGTTCGATTGGCGGGCGGGGAGAGGAAATGGCCAATTGCTATCTTCGTTATAACCTCGAATACAAGTGATCTTACGTGAGTCTTTACAATAAATGATATAACGTTGAAATTTTCATCGTAAACGCACTTGATGAATGGCTAAGTTCCATATCTGGCCACATGTTTTCAAATAGTTGGTTCTAAATTTGATACACTGGAAAAAAACACATTGGATCTAGAGTCCAGACTCTTGAAAACATTGACAAGAAAATATACTCTTGATTCAATCGGATTTTTGCTTGAATCAAAACGAAATCCGCTTAAATTAAGAGGTCTGGTTCTTGATTTAAGCTAGATTCTGATTGAATCAAGAGTACTTTTTCTTGTCGATGTTTTTAAGAGTCTGGACTCTTAGATACAATGTGTTTTTTTTTCCAGTGTATAGACCATATTCAGCAACAGTCCCGTAAGAAGGCATAACAACCGACTGTCTCCGTCCTGACCTGATTGTTGCTACTTGTGTGTTACGAATTTCACTGGACATCCTGTATTTTCGATGCAGCCTTGGTCAAATTTCAATCAAAATTAGTTCATTTACGACCTCAGTATGATTGCTCTATTTGAATGCCTGACTAGTGATCCATGACCGATTTTCCTAATAGTTTCTTCATAACGTAGAATTTCCTGATATTTACCAAATTTTCCTGACTTTAGACACCCTGCAAACGTAATCCGTTTCTGGCATTAATTCTCCCCTCCGATCCTACGGGAATTCTATCTCCCCCGACGTTGGGGAATTCTAGGGGGCAGCGGGCCCCTAGAATCCTGCCGATACCGTTGCACGGTGCCCCGTTGCGAGTGGCGACCGGCGATCTCGCGCCTGAGTCACGTAGGTAAGCGGTAACTTCTTCTTCGCTTCATCCCGGTACCCCCCCCCCCCCCGGG